GGAGAGGGGGGCTCTACTGCCCTCTGGACCTTCTGGGGGGGCTGCAGGACATGCTCCCTGTGGTCCCGGTGTCATATCTGCCACCTCCGCGTGGATGCCTTGGGGACATCTCTTGTGGCACAGAACTGGTGTGTGGGCAACCGAGCTGTGCCGGGAGCTAAATTAAGCATCTCATTTAGCTGGGCTTCCTCTAGCAGAGAGAGGCTCCTGGGGGGGTGGTGAGGTGCCCCCTCCCTCCTTGCTTGGTGGAAGGAAGAAAAGAACTTCAGCAGCAAATGTGGTGGGAGCGCGTGGATGCCTTGGGGACATCTCTTGTGGCACAGAACTGGTGTGTGGGCAACCGAGCTGTGCCGGGAGCTAAATTAAGCATCTCATTTAGCTGGGCTTCCTCTAGCAGAGAGAGGCTCCTGGGGGGGTGGTGAGGTGCCCCCTCCCTCCTTGCTTGGTGGAAGGAAGAAAAGAACTTCAGCAGCAAATGTGGTGGGAGTGGGGAGTAAAACAGAGCCTGAGCGTGCCCCGGGGCTGCCCAGGTGGGCTGCAAAGTGGGGGGCACCTCCAGGAGCCATTGTGCCCCAGGAGGCTGCTCAAAAGCCCCAGGACCTATGGAAACCATACCCAGGGCTGTGCTTCAGGGTGTCCCCGTGGGAGAGACTGCGGAGGGGGAGGCGGTTGTGCCATCAGGTTGGGTGCAGGTTTGGCAATTCAAAATGTTGCCTCAGTGCGTTTTTTTTTTAGGCGCTTCAGCCCTGCAGAAATTCTTAAAAAGTGAGGAAAGCAAAAAAACCCATCCCTGGGATATGGCCCTAGGGAATCTCCCCAGGGATGCAAATTTAGCAAGCGGTCCTGCGGCATCGAGGCCAGTGCTGGTGGGGAAACAGGCTGCCCGCGGGCTGGCACCGCTACAGAGAGCAGAGATCTGCTACGTTACAGGCTCCCTAATCCCCAAATTTGCTGATGGGAGAGGGGAAACTGCACTCTCATACCTACACGTGTCTATGTTCAAACCCCCCCCAGGGCGACGAACTCATCACCACCTGCACGTACAACACAGAGGACCGGAACCAAACCACCGTGGTGAGTGCAGGGGGGTGTCTGCACCCCGGGGTTGGAGGCACCCCCAAAGTGGGCATCGGCATGAACCCTGCCGGAATCACAGCCAGTAACCGGGGGGAGGGCGGTAAAAAGTGAACCCACGAGGCTCTGCTGCCCGCGGCGGAATGTTAAGGTGTTAATGGAGAAGTAGCGTGTGTCACTCTGATCCCCATCGCATGCTGTTCCAGCAGGGATTAATTGTAATTAAAAAGAAGTGGCTTTTTTTTTGACAGTGCATGTTATTTTCTTACATAGGCAGAAAGAAACAAAAAAAAAAAAAAGAGCCTGTCACAGGTACCATCAACAGGGACAAAGCTAAATATAGCTGAGGGATTATAGGAAATCTGCATTTTAATGTAAACCGCACAATCTAGCCTGAAAGTCTGGCCTTGCACAAAGGGTGGATGGGCAGATGAGCAGGGTGCAGCCGATCCCATGCATCAGAAAGGGTGCATATATATGTGTGTATATATATATGTGTGCACATACAGGTGTGAGTTCTGTGCCCCTGCAGCCCCGCTGCCCCCCCCCCCTTGCCCGTGCATCCCTGGCAGGGCAGAGCTGGACCCCAGTGCCAGGAGGTTTGTGTCTGTGCCGCAGGGTGGGTTCAGCATCCTGGAGGAGATGTGCGTGAACTACGTGCACTACTACCCCCTGACGCAGCTGGAGCTGTGCAAAAGCGCTGTGGATCCGGGCTACCTGCACCGATACTTCAACCTCGTCAACAGGTACAGGGACCCTGCACGGCGGGGCTGAGGGGAGAGGCACCATCGCAGAGCCCTTGGCTAGTTACACGGGAAAAAAGTTTTTTCAAAATGGGGTTTCAGGCACTTGCCATGCATTAGGTGCGTGGGGGCACTCAGTGCGGATTTAGGAGCCGTGGCTGGGCGGTGGAGCACAGTCCTGCCCTCCCCAGCCCCCAGAGCAGGCAGCCAAACCCAGGGCTTTGAGGATGGCTGTGGAGTGAGAACCACCGGGAAAGGGAGGGCATTCCCAGGAGCATTCCCAGCAAGAACCAGTGCATGGCCAGGTGCTTACATGCAAAATACTTCTTATAACCCAAGGCAGATGCCAAGCATCCCTGCTGGAGAAGCAGGCTGCAGCTCATCCACCCGCGCTGAGAGGGGGGAGATGCTGACCTTGCATGGGGTGTCCCACTCACGGGCAGTCCAGCTGTCCCCAAATCTTCCCCCGCAGGTGCCGGCTGCGCTAGGCTGTCCTCAATCCCAGGGCCACCTTCAGAGCCGTTCCAGGCTGAGCTTTAGGCAGGGAGGAATCAGACACATCCAGCACTGAACGGGGACAGCACATCCCTGCTGCGTTTCAGTGTGGCGTTTCTCCTGCCCCAGGTTTAACGACGAGGAGGTCTGCATGTGCCCACAGGTCTCCGTCCCCCAGCAGTTTTTGTCCGTCCCGTGGAACAAGTTCAACAGAGATGTGCTGAAATCTCTCTACGGCTTTGCTCCCATCTCCATGCACTGCAACAAATCCTCAGCCGTCCGGTTCCCGGTATGTAGAGCATCACAACCAAAGCCTCACAGCAAAACTCCTGGCTGTAGGTAAACAGCAGCTGGGCAGAGCTGTGCCGTGGGGTGATCCTGATGAGATGGGTCCGGTCCCCAGTGCTCAGGATGTGGCTGAAGGGCAGGGAGCTGGAGCTGCCATGGGACCCCAGTGTCAGCCGGACACCGAGTCCAGCCCTGGCGATTCAAACAATCCAGCATGAGCCCACTGTGGATGTGCTTGGCCAGGTTCAATTAGAGATGCATCTGCATACACTGATTTTGAGGCTGCTTTCACCGAGTGTAAAGCAGGGCTAGCTCCAGAACCAAGGAGGAATGGGGAGGGGGGGGTTTAGGAGTTTTGGCAAATTACATCAGGTCCCAGCAGAGCAAGCTCATGACCCACAGCATCTGTGCAGTCTCCAAACGGTGATCCAGCAAAACGTGAAGGATAAAGGGCTGAGAGACCTTTAAAGAAAAACCATGCCCAGCCGTGATGGTCAGGATGGATAAAGACTTAAACCCACTGATGGTCCCTATCACCATCAGCTCCCGACACCGTTTATCAGTGTAATAAACTCACACGATATAGCATTCCTGGATCCAGCGTTATCCGCTGCAGCGCCAGAGGATGCCAAGCTGATTGCAGGGGAGACCATCAGCGTTCTCACCTGGTAAAACCCCTTCAGCAAAGTCAGCCCTGCAGCGGGCAGAAACCTTCCCAGTGCCCTGGAACTGGAGACTCGGCACCTCTCAGCCAGGCAGAGCCCCGCTGCGGGGACAGAAGTTTTGTGCAGCAGCAGAATTATGAATTAAACCTCTTAATTATGGCTCAGGCAACTCTTTTGGTTCCAGAGAGGCCTGAGGGGTGGCTGGGAGGAGCCTGGAGTGGAGCAGACCTGATGCTGGTCCAAAGTGGGTAAGGAGCATCGCAGCCGAGCTGCCCCTCCTGCTCTGCCGGTGTTTCCGAGCCAGCCCGATTTGAAGACATCTCATTTATTCCACACTGCCAAGAGAAAAGCACCAGCTTCTAATTAAGCTCATGGTTTTTGCAGTTCAGCGATCCCAAACCTGACGAGCTTTCTGGAAGGACTGAGTGCTGTTCATTATTGAGCAAAACCTCAAGGTAACCCTTGTGAGGATGTGGGGATGGCACTGTCCCCGAGTCCCCTGCGCCTGCAAGGGCTTGCAGTGAACTCTCCATACTCTCTATGTCCAGATTTCCATTCGAAAGCCCTGAAAACAACAACTGTCGAGACACTCCGAATGCCTTTGATCCCCCCAGAAGCAGGGTGCTGGCGAGGCGCTGGCACAGGTTTGGGAGGTGGCAGCAGGACAGGATGCCTCAGCAGATGGGCTCAGGGCTGGGGTACCCCAAACACGCCTAACTGCTCTCTTAAACCATGAGGGCACAGGAAAACAGTAGTTTCTCCAGCTGGTGCTTCCCTGCGATGCTGTCCCTTCTCTGCTCGCTCCCTGTGTGTTTTGGGAGGGTCCCTCCGTCCCCCTCCGCCTCTCCCCAGGGTTTTCCTGATGCTGGTGCAGGCACTGGCCCATTTCACTTGCCATACTACAAGGAATTTCATCTGAAAACATAAATTCAACTCTCATCTTGCTGATGACTCACGGCTCTACCTCTCCTCTCCAGACCCTCCTCCTCCTCCTGCTCCCGCTGCAGCTCAGCCTCTCGCCGATGTTTCCGCATCAGTGCGCAGCCGGCAGCCAAACCAATGCATCGCCGAGCCAGAGCTCAGCCCAGACTGAGTCCCCCCTTCGCCCTCGCAGCCCCTGGCTGTGTCTGACCCAGCCACTAACCTGGACCAACACGTCACATCTGAGCTAGACCCAGCCCGGGGGGCTCAGCCCTTGGCTCTGCCTGACTCCAGCACGTTGCTCCTTGCAGGGAGCATCCCCAAGACAAGGAGCCCCCATCCATGCACAGAGGTGGGGGCTTTGTCCTGGCCATGGTCACCTTGAGTCCTGATGGAGGTGACAGCCTTTCCCTGGCTCTGTCCCGCGGCACTGCATCCAGGCTGCTGCATCCCTCCCAATTTGCAGCAGCTGCACGTGAGCATCCGTGCTGGTGCGCTGCAGATGTTGCCTCCAACCAACCTTCCTAGTAGAGAGTGTTTCTCAGAGCTGGGCTGAGAGCGCAGTGGGGTGGTGGGACTCCCTGGTTTGAGTTGTCTCCATCTGATTTGGTGGGTAATGCTTTTTTGGGTTGGAAACTCCCTAATTATGGTGGGTTTGTGCAATATGGTAGCACCACGGGTGTCTGCGCCGCTAAGGGGATGTGTAGGTGCTGCTGAAATACAAATAATTAGTAACATCTCATAAGAAAACATCCCAGTTTGGGCTAAAACCACTTCAGATATTAAAGATCAATCTCATTTTTACATGTAGGGGGAAACACAGTGTCTCCAAGTACCTGAAACCGGACTTGCTCTCACAGTGCCCATCTCTCTTGCAGGGCAACTGGGAGAAGCAGCTGCTTCCCACCATCACCGAGCAGCTA